GTGGCATAATTATTCCCATGACTTGTACTCGTGACTTCTTTTTCTCTTTTTTCATATAATAAAAGAGTGAACTCGTGCTAAATTCCTCATGTTAAACTTTCTCATGGTTTGTTTACTTATTTGATAGATTTTTTTACTTTTACCAGTCTTTTTACCCTCGTGTTGAACTGTTGGAGGATCCCCTCGGTGTAACATTCCATAATTAATGATTTGCACGTGATTCTAGTTTCTTTTTTCTGTCATTTACCACATTCCAAAAAATATACTGTAAAAAAAAAAAAATATGGGTTTTTAATTTTTTTAAATTAATGTTTCAAAACAAAGTATATTATAAAATAAAAAAAATAATAATATATATTACATATTTAAAATATATATATATATACGGATTACTTATATTAAAATATATATATAAAAATCTTCATAACCAATAAAAATTTAAAAATATTGTTCTACACTTCTAAATACTTCTATTTTAATAAATTTGTTCAATATGACTTTCAAAAAATCTCCAATGATTTTTCTTTGTATTAAATTAAAAAGAACTCCTTTTTAACCGAAAAGGAAAAAAGATTTTTATTGGTTAATGTATAATAAGTAGTATAAGTATAAATAGTAAACAAAGAACAAAAAAAAAAAAATCTTAATTCTTTTTACGATAAATTCTTATATTATTTTTTTAAAAAAATAAGTATGTTTGATTACCACATGAAAAGATGAAACGTTACGATAGTTAATTCAATTATCTTTTATGTAGAATGATAAAATAGAATGATGCAATAGGAATGATGCAATAGAAATGATGCAATAGAATAAAAATTCTTTCGAAAAAAAAAATAAAATAAAATAAAATAAACAAACAAATTTAAAAATCATACTTTATTATTTAAACCTATAATATTGAATAATTAAAATAAACATTTTCAAACATTTTAAAAACATTTCAAAACATTTTTCAAATATTTTTTGATGATTATGTAAATTTTATTTAAATGATTGGTTTAAAAAATTTTTGTAATTTAAAGTAATAATAAGTAAACATAAACCCATCGCGTAGATATCCATAAAATACGTACTCCCTCAAATAAAATTAAGTTAAATTATTTAAAATATGAAAATATTTTTTCGTAAACTTTTTTTTTTTTTTTTTTTCATATGAAGATTTATTTATGTCAAATTACGTAAAAGAAATTAAATTATGTTTAAAAGAAAAATAATAGAATTGCACGTGGATGATCAAATGTATCCTATGTTATCCTTATTAATAAATATCCTTATTAATAAATATTTATTATTTATTCACCATTATTACCGTTATTTTTATGACGTATTGATTAATCAAACTCCGATTATTCTGATTTTTTTGTACTGTTTCTCCAATGGTCGTATTTTCCCATTCATTTTAAGTTTGAATTTATATTTATTCCATTACCATTGATTGACGTTGTTTTAATTCTACGCCTTAATTTTAGTTGCATCAATCATTATCGGATCATATTGATCATAATGATTGATGGTGTTAAAATAGTATGTATCACCCGTATGTGAATTATTATTTGAGTTTCAAAAATTCCAAAGGCGCTACGTTGCTAATTAGTAGAAAATTGCTGAAATTCCAAGATTCAGCAGTTATATTCACAATTTATAGTATGATTACTATTACGGCTATTTTATTATTTTAGTCTTACATGCTAAAAAATGTGATTTTTAAGCACTCAATCAATAAAAATTTTTGTTGTAAATTTACGATAATCATTTAATAAGCAAAATAATCAAAATTCATCGATAAAAATGATTCATAAATCTATAATCCGTTAATAAATTATACTTATATTTATATATATAAATTTCTAAAATTTTGCCTTAAAAATAGTTATTCTCATGAACCTTTTTTTAATAATTATTAAATTTTAAATATAATTTATTTTTTAAACCTGTATAATTATTACTTTAATGTCGATAATTATAATTATCATGTATAAGGATATTAAGGAGAAAATGCTACACAAGAATTCGAAGGATTCAATGAGGTCTTAGCTATTAAGGCTGATCGAATTGAGACTGAATAAGAAAAGGAAAATTTTACTGAGGCAATTAATCATTATGTGGATTTCATGGATCTGAAATGATTGTGAAATATTCATTTAATCAATCAAATTCAAAACGAGACTTAAATGAAAGCGATCGATTTTCAAAAAAGGACAAAGTACGGATAATTATACATCAACTCTGCCAAACAGGGTTAAGAATATTTAATTTTCACAAAATGCCCTTTAATTCTTTAGCTAACCTTTCGGACGTATATACAGATTAGAAACTCTAGTTCTCAACAATATAATGAAGAATCATCTTTATCTGACTCTGAAATTATACCAATTTTACTGACAAATGTATTTTCTGAAGTATAATAGCAAGAATCTAATTATCTAATATAACAGTCATTGGTCATGTCACATCTAATTTGACTTATTATGTTTAATTTAGTAAAATTTTTGGTATCCTTTCTAAAATCAATCCCAATTTATTTTTCTGGTTAATTAACAATTTTCGAATTTATAATTCTGGCCGAACTTTTGTTAATTCCGGCCTAAATTGTAATTCCGGCCTAAATTATATAAAAATTGAAATTTCAAGTCAAATGTAATATTGCATTTTTACAATATAATATCACTTTAACTAATGATAATTAAATTCTTTTATTAACATCTTAAAAATATTTTGATAGGCTTTAAAAGCCAAAATTTTAGTTGCTTTAAAAGAACCTGAGAAGTAAAATATCATCTATTTTAACTAATTAATATAAGAAATATATTTTTAAAACTGCAATTGCTCACTATTCTGATCTACCAAATATCACATATGGGCGAGTTTAGTTCATTTAAATTTAATTGATATAATTGCCTTATCTGTCCCATTACATAATACCAATGTGTTCGATATTCATGTGATATTATGTCATGTGAATATACAGATTTTATTAAATAAAATTTTCCATCTAACTAATCGTTAAACAAAAATAACTTAACGAAAAAAACGCGTTCAACCCATCCGACCACTACACAACCCATCTGACTAACCTTGGTATATATTTCAGGCTAAACCTGCTGATTTTTCTTTAAATTTATGAATTTGTTTTATTAGTTTTCTCTATTTTTTTTTTTAGCTATTGTTTACTTACAGATTTCTCTTTTTTAGTCATGTCTACTCAAGATTCAACTAAGTTATATTGCTCTATTTGCAAAAGGCGTGCAAAAGGGTTTAAAAATCGCTCAGGACTTCAACGACATGAAACACTAAAACATGTGTCCTACAATACACTTCCGTCACACGTTCGGTCAGTTCCAAACTCCGAACTTTCACATTTAAAAAAAGCTATAATCAAAGAGTTGCAAAAACGTCTTAAAAATCATCACACTGCTGTTGGGAAACAAGTATTTTCAATACATTGCAGTGAAGATGCTTTTGTTAGTATTTTTAAAAATCATATAACTCGTTATTCTCCATGTGGGTCTTCTTATTTTTGTAGTTTTAAGGGGGAAAAAGCCTTTGAAGAAGTTGGAAAAATCTTGGATGATGAAAATTGGGGAGAACGTAATTATGGATGAGGGCAATTAAGCTTTGTCCGTTTGCATATGCCTGATTTTGAAAATAGTAATTATGAACAAAGTGCAAAAAAATCTAAAACAAAATCATTAGTTAATGGAGAAATGACTGTTCAATGGAAGGTGACAGGGGGTAAAGATAAAGAGAACCATAAATTTGAAGCAGGTTCAGCTCAATTTCGTTTTTTTTTAGATCAATGTCAAATTTAAAGAAAATCTTATAATGTAAATAGCAAATAATAAAAAAAATTATATAGATAAATTAGTTCAATTGAATACGTTTTTTCATTTTTTTTTTATTTGATAACAAATAAAATCCTGTTATTCGAGTCTGTATTTTTTGGATTTTTTAAAAAAATTAGGAACTCTATTTGATGCAAAGTACAATTGCCGATTTTCATGCTCTAACATTTCCAAAATTGCTGATTTTCGCGAATTTCTATTCCCTCCATCTTTCAATGTGTTTTGAAAATAAAGGCATATCTGCATATGATTTTTTTTTTCAACTGGAGAACATGAAAATGCTGCCAATCCAAACTTATGATGAATTTCAAGAAACTCCGCAACATGATTGCATAACACATGAATATATAGTGTTATATCCTGAATACGATACATGCCTCTAACAAAATTATCTCTATTTGGATGTCCTGTAGAAGGAGCTGTAAATTCATCTAACCAAGATTTGGCCTTATAACGAAAAAATTCACCAGTTGTTTTTTTATTTTGTATTAGATGATATAGTTCATTAAATTGATCCCATAAGGCACGGATTTGTATGGCTCGTGTTATTGATTGAAATACAGCAAAAAGGTCAAATTCTTTTAGAACTTTTAATTTGTCTGGACCCATTAACGAAGTATAAGACAGATTATTTGTATTTTTTTCGTGCCAAAATTGAAACGAAATATTAAGTCTTTGCA